CCCCCCCCTCCAGATTCCTCCCCTCCCCAATATACATTTCAACTATTTCCTACACACAGACAGAGCACACAGGGAGTCTGGAGACAGGAACGTCCAGCAGCAGCAACAACAACAACAAAAACAACAACAACAACAATAACAACCAACAAGATCTCACCCTTTGAGCGGACTCCAAGGCATCACCGCCATTCCCTCGGCCTTACACACTTGGAAAGCTTCCAACTCGGACTCCCTGCACGCCAGGTTGTATTGTTGCTGGAGAGAGCGAAATTCTAAATTGTCATCTGCTTAGCCTTTGTAAAAAGTTTTACGACACTTGCATGCAACATAAATAGTTCATATAAATGCCAAAGATTAGTTCGTTTTTAGTTTTAGTAGAGGTTTTACGGCGCTCACAACTGTATAAGGTCACATGAGCGCCAGAAGAATAGAGGTGTTACAAGAGAGTAACAAACATAACAAAGAAAAAGGGGACATGAAGACGATATATTTTTGATAAGACAGAAGAAGCAAACCACACCAGAGCACCTGCTCCACAGATTAGATATCTTACCAGAGAGTAAGGTACAGAGAAAAAAAAGGAGGTGAGATAAGGACCATATTGGTGTTTGCTAGGAGAAAGGAGTAACAAATCACACCGGAGCATCTGCCAACCACCCACGAATTTTAAGTTAAGTATATTATATATAAAGATTATTAAACAGGAGTTTAAGACCTATAATGCACGACATAGCATCTACTTCAAACCTTTCAAAACCTCAAATAACAGACATTTTTTAGGACTCCTTTCCTCGAAACTGTAAATAATTATGAACTGATGACAACCCCCCCCAAAAAAAAACAACAAAAAAACAAAAAACAAACAAAACAACAACAAACAAACAAACAAAACAACACCAAAAAAACAACAACCAACAACAACAAAAAACAACAACAAACAAACAACCCCCCCCTCACCCTCCAAAAAACCCCAACAAGCAAACAAAACAACAACAACAACAACAACAACAACAAAAACAACAACAACAACAATAAAACCCCAACAAAAAACAACAACAACAACGAAACAACCCAAAACAAAAGACCAACAGATTTCTGAATAAGACGACACGTTTTTGCTGTTCTGACACATCTAAGCAAGTCAATCATGACAAAGACAGAGTTTAATTAGAGAAGATAAGATACATCTTCATTGTCCAGATCCTGGCACATATAAACAATAATAATCTTAAGCTTTATACATACTCAATTTTTATCTGATGCGAATTCTAAGATCATATGAATACTTATACTAGATGATTAAGATGGAAGAATTTTGACGGATGATAGTTTTAGTATATTATCGCAACTGCATAAGGTCATATGAGCCCCAAGGGGTGAAATATAAACAGAGAAGTCCAAAGGGCGATACACAAGTGGAGATGAAGCTGTTAAAACCTCAAAAAGTGGCAAACTTTTCTCTACCAGAATTGGTCTCATCGACCATAGCAGAAGCCATAAGTCATCTTAACCTTTATTTTTACTTTCTGTTTGGCATAAAAAATTGTATTGTCCACTACAGATGCATCGGTCATAATCAGACTTTTTATTTGTTTTTGTAGAGGCTTTACGGCGCTCGCATCTGCATAAGGTCATATGAGCACCAAGGGGTGGAAGTCAACAGAGAAGTCCTTACAGGGAATCAGACTTACTCTGCTCACCTCTCTAGCTTCAACAGCACAAAGTCTGCTTCGACTATCAAGGCACCCCGGAAGTAGCG